GAGTTGTAGCTTTTTGGTCTGAGAAGGTCAGTGAAATGCCCTCAGGATTTGTCCTGAGATCCTGTACCTCAGATTGTAGAACCTTCATCAGTGCTTACATATGACTTTGAATGGCTAAAATGAAGTATGGAAAGCTCGGCAGCGTTCATAACACAGCATCTTGTTCTGGAGAGTAGACGCTGGGGTGCCTGGCACAGCATCTTGAAGCCAACAGAAATTCCTGGTGAGCCAGGTCAGCTTTCAAACATCAGCTCTTTCTTACCTAAGCAGAAGACACAGATATCTGTGGGAGGCACCTGGCCGGATGTTGGGAGCCACAAACGCCCTGCCTCGGGGTCATGCACATGGTTGGGACACTGCTACTCTTGTCTCAACTGCTGTTTCAGGGGCCTTACTGGCACGGGGACGTGGGAATCTCACCCAAGGAGAGGACACCTTACCCAGGCCACTCCCAGTTAGGACCTTAAAAGTCAGGTAACAAGGATTTCTGGGCTTTGGAGTTGGAACTTCAGGTGTTGAAGCCCTTCTGATCTGGGCAGGTAGCTTTCTGTATTTTCTCTTTCTTTTGTGTAATTGTGTATGAGTAACAGGTAAGCTTTATTTTACTGTTTTTCCTTGTGTTAGAGGCTTTTGTTGTTTGTGAATCCAGACTTCTAAATTAAGCAGCTGTGACTACTGTGACAACCTCCTTACGGGTGCAGAATTTTGCATCTCAGTACCTTACTATATTATTTTGGGTAGAACCCAGCTTTCTAAACTTATGGCTAACGGCCCTTCCCCATCTATCCCACATCTCCAAAATACCAACTTTTATGACTTCAAACCTAAATGTACCCCCAAATATTACTGTGCTAAAAGACCAGGAAGCACTGGAACCTTTACCAAGGCGGGACCCACTGGAAGACGCCAGGCCTCTGGAAGCACGCCCTTGCAGACTCGGGCTCTCAGTCCCTTTTCTTGCTGCTTTTCATTCACTAGAGGTGAGCACCTCTGCCCTAGCCACGATGATGCTCTGCCTCACTATGGGCCCCGAAACAGGCCAAGGTGACCACAACCTGAAAATTCTCAGACTGTCAGCCAGCATAAACCTCTTCCTCCTTTTGAGTGGATTACAGGTGGCTGTCACAGTAATAGAAAGTTAACATACCAGCCAACTAACAAAGTAGAGCTTGCTAGTCCCTATTTTTTTTGTTTGTTTGTTTGTTTAATTTCCTTTATCCAAAGTAGCTCTCTCCATTTTGTTTGTCTGGTGAATCCTTACTAGTTTACCAGAACACAATTCATATGTCATCTCTGAGCAGAATAAATCATCCTTCCAACTGTGCCCTAAACACAACTCTACTACAGCACTCGTTACATATGAATCTCCAAGAGCCTACTCTTTTTTTTTTTTGGCAGAACCAGGGATTGAACTCAAGCGCTTGCGCTTACCAGGGAAGTGCTTATTCTACTGAGCTATCTCTGTGCCCCAAGCTGGCTGACAGTTATTATTGAAAGCTCTAAAATGTTTGCCTAAACACTGTATTATACACAGTCAAAGTCTGCTAAATAAACTATGCATTTAATGAAATGAAATGTAGACAATAGAAGAATATAGAATCAGATTCTATTTGTGGATAATCTAAAGTGCTCTGAAATCAGTGGCTTAAAAGTTTTCCTTGCCTGAGAAAACGACTGCACTATTCAACTCAAGAGAATGACATGAGTCTTGTGAAAACTTGAACCATTACCTAAGTACTACAACCTCATTTTCCTACGAAGGATCCCAATACAAACACAGAACCTTCCTCATTCACTTTCCATTGAAAGAACATCAGCTTGACATAAATAGTGTACATTCTATCTAGAATGCAACTTATTATAATTACACATCACACAGATCATTTGAAGTCATTCTAACTGCAGTTTGAAGATCAGAAGACAACCATTCCAACTTTATCAATAACTAAGAAAAACCAGAAACTGGACTTTAATATAATTGAATTATCAATAATAGTTATTAACAATGCTCAACAGGTTCAACAAGACACAAGCAAAAAATAACATCTATAAGAGAACATGTGATGATTCTCAAAAAATACTATGAAACAGTTCGATCAGTAGCAGGAGCGGAGAGCGGACCCCAGAGAGCCCTGAGCAGCCCCACTGGCGGCGCCTGCTGGCGAGGACAAAAAAGCCATCACAATGAAGGTTTTGGGTACAGTAAAATGGTTTAATGTAAGAAATGGATATGGCTTCATCAACAGGAATGACACCAAGGAAGATGTATTTGTACACCAGACTGCTATAAAGAATAACCCCAGGAAGTACCTTCGCAGTGTAGGAGAGGGAGAGACTGTGGAGTTTGGTTTTTTTTTGTTTTTGTGCTTTGTGTTTTTTTTTGTGGCACCAGGGATTGAACTCAGAACCTTACACTTGCTAGGCAAGCACTTATACTGAAAAGGGTGTGGAGGCAGCAAATGTCACAGGCCCTGGTGGAGCGCCAGCTCCAGGCAGTAAATATGCAGCAGACCATAACCATTACAGATGCTATCCACGTCAGGGGTCCTCCACGCACTTACCAGCAGAATTACCAGAACAGTGAGAGTGGGGAAAAGAATGAGAGATCGAGGGCGCTCCCGAAGGTCAGGCCCAACAGCGCCAGCCCTGCCACAGGCAAAGGTGCCCACCTCACTACATGCTGAGACCCCGTGGGCGTCGACCACAGTACTCCAACCCTCCTGTGCGAGAAGTGATGGAGGGTGCAGGAGAACAAGGCAGACAAGTGAGACAGAGTATGTATCAAGGTTATAGACCACGAATCCGCAGGGGCCCCCCTCGCCAAAAACAGCCTAGAGGATGGCAATGAAGGAGATAAGGAAAATCAAGGAGCTGAGACCCAAGGTCAGCAGCCACCTCAACGTGGTACCGTTGCAACCTCAATTACCGACGCAGACACCCAGAAAACCCTAAACCACAAGAGGGCAAAGAGACAAAGCAGCCATCCACCAGCTGAGAATTCGTCTGCTCCCGAGGCTGAGTAGAGCGGGGCTGAGTGAATGCCAGCTTAACATCTCTACCATCATCCGGTTTAGTCATCCAGCAAGAAAGAAACGAATAGGAAATTCCAGCAATAAGAAATGAACACAAGATTGGAACTGAAGCCCTTAAGTGCTTGCTTTTTGCCCGCTGACCAGATAACTAGAACTATCTGCATTATCTATGCAGCATGAGGTTTTTATTATTTTTACCTAAAGACGTCTTTTTTTGGTAATGACAAACGTGTTTTTTTAAAAAAGCCTGTTTTTTCTCAATATACCTTTAAAGGTTTTTAAATTGTTTCATATCTGGTCAAGTTGAGATTTTTAAGAACTTCATTTTTAATTTGTAATAAAAGTTTAAAACTTGATTTTTTCAAAAGAGTCAACAAACTGCAAGCACCTGTTAATAAAGGTCTTAAATAATTTTTTAAAATACTATGAAAAAATAATACTACCAATATTCTTATGATTTAGGAATTGAACAAATTAAATACTAAACTTCAGTGTGACCTAGTTATCCTAAAATTTTTCTTTACTGTTAAAAGGGAAAGCATTAAAATTGGCCAGCCATTAATATCATTTGCTATATGAATAAAATATTTTGAAACTATTCAATCCTGATATTTAATATTTAAAGTTGATTTTTACATGAAAAATATACATATTGGGGCTGGTGAGATGGCTCAGTGGTCTAAAGCACCTACTTAGACCAAGCTTAGCAAAGCACAGGGACCGCAGTTCAATCCCCCAGCACCACATGCCAGCCAGCCCCGCCCCCTGGTGGGCTGAGCTGGCCACAC